TATATATATATATATATAAATAACGGAAATTAGCAATGAAAAAAGGACAAATTAGTTTCGAAGTAAAGTCTGCGTTCGATGGAGTTTATTCGCAGCGGGGTCAATCACTGGGTTCCAAGATATTTGTGTATGATTTCAGTTCAAGAAATCTCACAATAAAAGAGTGTTAATAAAAATTAAATAAGGATATGAAAAAGTGTATTATTTCAGAAACGAGACGCACTGCATAGGTCACCCACATCTACATACACTGGAAGATCAGGCTGTTGATAGCATGGAATATTCACCTGAAACTAATCACTTCTTGAAGCTCTTCAAGAAATGAGCTAACGAAAAAATGAAAGTAGAAGATTAATAGAAAACCTATTGAAAACCGATTAGATTCGGTGCATCAGATGGATTAACATCGAATCTCAGCTGTGGTTTGTTCGTTCGAAATGTTGTGAAATTGAATCTTGTAAGCTGCTTTATTTAACTAAGGTAGCACCGCTAATCGTAAATCCAAAAAGAATTTCATCACTGAAACGTGAAAACTTTCCAATTCTAAAAAGTATTCTAGCTCTTCAGGATCGTTTTTGTTCAATAAAGGGAACTTATACTTCATTTCAGTTGCAACAACTGGGAACTGAACAACATCTTCGAAACCGTTAGCTGGGGCATTATATGCAGCTGTTTCACTGCTTCTATGAACGATCTGAGGAATTATTTGGAACTCATAAGCATAAAACATTGCATGAAATGAGGCTTTAGTAGTCGTATGCTTCGCTTGGTTACCATGTACAGCAGTCATATATTGTATTACTATTAAGGTATTATCTTGCATACTGTCCAAATCGAATATTCCCACAATTTGTCAACTGCTCTTGTACCATTCCATCAATAATTTACATCAAAATATGACCAATCACATGAGATGTAATTTGCTCGAGAATGAAATCGCCCGCCTTCATCACTGATATTAAGAACTAGAGGAATATATAAGGCAACAAGATGTCAGTATATCGAGTTCATCTCAATCAAGTAAATGGCTCATTATTATAACATTGCCCAGATCAAATTCAAGCTGACATACTCAAGGTTTAAATCAATGTCCTTGTAAAATATGAAATTTGTCATGTTTAGAAACCAGACACCACAAAATGAGATCAAATCTTGTCAACCCATTTAATGGCATTCATTCATAGAAACACGCACAAGATGACTTCGCAAAATTTCATAATATGGGATTTTCATGGGTCAGTTTTATAACGGTGTTTCATATGATTGCTTAGTTTCAATAGTTTTCTGGTGTGAAGCAGGCTTGGCTTTACAATGTTTTTTGAAAACATCATGAGTAATTTGACCACTGGATGAGCGGTACGCAATGTTTTTCGAATGTTTCAAATTAACTACTTTTTTCGCTCATCAATAAAGTTACATGCACTGCGTTGGCAAATACTATGTAACAGGGCAAATAATTGTTTGACAACGCTGTAATAAGTGCACTTTCTTTGCTGTTGATTGTTAGTATTTCATACGACTGAGAACAGAAATTTTTTATGTTATTAAGTGTTCAACTATAAATGAATTTCAGATCAACTGACAGTGAAGCAACTGTTAACTTCATGATACATTACTCATGCAGAACAGAGATAGTCAGCAATCATAAATATTCGACATGATTTAAGTTCTGCACAAATAAAACATGAAAGAATGCTAATTAGAAGAAGCTTTCTGCCAATCGTTAAAAAGTGCTAAAGGCTCATCAGCGCCTCTATCCACCAGTTCTTTACGTGCATCTTCAACCGCAACACTGCCATCTGACTTAATGATGCGCAACGTTGGCATTCCAACCACATCATACTTTTGATACAACTGCCTGAAACTATGCACTTAGCAGCTAACTGCTGAAATTCTAAATAATGTTCGTTCATGAAATAATTTAGTTGTCCAAATGACGTCGACGTCATTTGGACAACTAAATTACCGAGCCGGAACACGACCAAAATTTCTTCACATTATTAATTTAGATTTCATGATGCGTTAAAAAATTCATCAATGTCTTGATCATCACCATTAATATTAATACACCCATAATTGCATTATACTACTATTGTTATTATTATCACTATTATTATGATTATTATTGCTATTATTATTATTATTAGTTATTATTACTTAAAACGATATTGTTGTCATTGCTGGAGCTAAAAATCCTTGAATATTTCCATGACGCTTTATATAAAACACAGCCGAAAACAATTTACAAAATATGACCGTTTATTGATCAAAAATATGTTGCTGTATGCAATCAGTTCCATTTTACGACATATCAAAATAAAGTAGCATTTGAATAAAATGAAATGAAAATCTTTTACTAGGTGCTTTCATGACGACTAAATTTAACACTTTTCATGGCTCATGTGGTGTTTCTTGGAGCAAGAATTGTATAGCGAACCAGTGATTAGAACTTGATAATGATACAGCGAAAATAATCTGATAAATTTGTATGATACACAAATGTGTCATAAACCCACCGTAGATAAGCAAAACTTACTCGATGAGTGGATCACCGAATTCGATGTAACACCAGTTGCCTTGGTGTTCATCGAAATATTCGTCAAGATCCTCCTTCTCTTTATCTCTCGAAACAAACACAACTTCAAATGGTTTCTTCTCCTTTACAGTTATATTCTCATGAAATCTCTATAAGCAATTGTTCATTCAGTGGTGGATCGTCATCAACAATCGACATAAGGAATGTCGCCCAGATATTGTGAACAGTATGCGTGAAAATTTTAGAACCTTCAATTTTGGTGTGAACGGGCGACAAGCTGGACACCATCCGGCTGAAAAATACAATCCGACCACTTTATCTTTCAAATGATTTTGTGCTGACACCTTCAAAAAGAAATAATAACTAATACGAAAATACTCGGAAAAGACAGGATCTTTCTACATCTTTTGTGATGAAGAAACGATCGTATCGTACAGCCAAAATTATATGAAAGAATCCAAAAAATGTCCATTGTTGGTTCTTTAATTTCAGGGTTTATCACATATTTCTCATCTGGTTTTGGAATGAATTTGCGGGTAATTTTAAGGTAGTGAATAGTTCAGTTGTATGGCGCGGAGAATAAATATAGAGTTGGTGTATTCTTAGCGATTGGATGTACCAACGTTGAACGTAATTGGCATAATGGAGTAAGTGTACAAGCGCCTGAAGGATTCAAATCACAAAATAGTCGCAATACAATGGCAAAATCCAACAGATGCACTTGATCAATTGAATGCGCAAAAGCGATACGATTCTGTTGAAAATCCGAAACAAATAAACCGACTGAAATCAATTTTTATGAAACGAACTTTCGATCCATCTTTTAGAACCAGCGTCGCACCAGAAAGAAATTCAGCCATCGAATTGATCGCTCGCCTGAAATTATTGGATTGCAATATTGAGAGCTCTATGGAAGCCTCAAACAGATTTCAGATGCTCTGCAATGTTCTCGTGAAATTCATAAAGGAAACAACAATAAAACCTTTTTTTGTATAAAATCAATAAATTCTACAAGAACAACGATTATCGATTGTGTCGTTACAACGATTGTGTCGTTATCGTAGTAAGCCAACAACAAACTGTACGCGATCGAGAATGTAAAAGTCTATTGATGAACAAATGTGCAAGGATTATTTTAAAATTGTGTACAAAAATGATTAATGAGAAAATCGGCACTAGTGAAACGCTTTTGAATCAATTTCATTTGTTTGTAGTCACGCCCACGGTGGTTCAATCGCGAACGTAATTGGCAAATGGGTCTCGCAACTGATGACGGTTTTGCAGATTATAGAAGATAGGTTCTTGCTCACGCGTACTTTTGCATCAAGTAGGGAGGGGACGGACCACTGATCATTACAGAACTCGAGTACGAAGTGTGCTAGACAGAGTTATTCTAATGTGATGTGTGAGTAAATATTTTGAATGGTGTTGATGACATCTTGGCACTTTTGCACTGTAGTAAACCCCACCCCGCGGATAGCATCAGCAACTCTTAGGCTTATGTAAGGCTACTCCTTCTCTCTCATTCGGTGGACGTTCACGTAGACAACGAAATGAGTGTAGTGGGATCCACTTTTACATTGGTTTACTTTACACTTTAGACTTGACATCATTGGTAAATGATGACACCTTTGGTATACTTTATGCTTGGGGATCATATATATCGGTATGAGCAGCATTTTTTTTGGAGGGAGACAATGGAAATTCAGCAAGAAGTGAGTAAAAAATAACGAAAAATAATGATATCGGATTACCTCACCTGAAAAAGAATTTATTGTCTGAATCCTACCTTCCCCACCCAACATTCGTAAGGTGGTAATCATGTAATTTTAGTATGATGTTTTGTCATTACTGACATTATTCTTTGCCATTATAGGATATAGTGTTGTGAAATGTTTACAACAGTCGAACCGCATGCTGTAAAGCTCTTCAGATTATGTATGCTAACATTATCTTCAATGAAACGTTCGCAGTGAATGTTAGGTGCAGCGAATTATGTAGTAGAGAAGTATTGATTAAGTATGGCACTGTTGCATTCACAATCATTTTATAAACATATGCAGTCTCAAAAAGTTTGTTAGAATGGTGTACATTTTCATCGATGTGTTGTATAGTTTCCCCACTGATGAGGCGTATGCTTTTTAAGCATCATAATAGACTAGTGCAGAATGTGAATGAATTTGTTGAAGAGTAAGATAAAATTCTGTTACAGTTTGTGCTGATTATTAAATAATAACTGATAGTTGTTCATGCATTAAAACTCTCGTAAAGAGGTACAGTGAATTAAAGTTACAATCGACTTTACTGGTTGATAACTTGTATTACAAAAACGTTATTTGAAGTTCGAAGCGTTTAATGCAAGTCAGCTGAAACATTGTGTTCCAGTGGAATTATGATTTCTGGTGATGACGTACCCATCGAAAATGATGAAGGCAACAGCTTTTCGAAGGTTATTTTCAGTCAGTTGATAGAAGTTATCATTGGCTCCTTGTCTTATCACTGACGTTTATTCCACGCAAGTTTCCGAACTTCTGTTGACCCTAGCAACTATATTCATACTTGAGAAGTAACATCTAAATGAATATAGCTTAATCAAAAGATATTCTAATAATAAGCCTCAGTGCATCATATTTGATTGTGTAGTCAATTATTGTATTGCTTTATCAGCTGCATATAATTATTTATTGAATATACATATTACGACTTTTAAGAATTCCGATAATCTAACACCCGTCGATTTACATCTCGATGATGAAGTAACTGAGTCGAGTGCTCCTGCAAAATTGGCATTTTCGGTTACACCCGAAGAAGCTGAACCAACTCCCGTTCTCGGTGATCGGTCGAAAATTAATATTATAATTAATCAATATGAAAAAAAAGGTGACGGTATCAATGCGTATCTCGTCTACAGAATAGTCACCACTGTGAGTTAATTAAAATATCTTTGTGCATTTTTCGACTATATCATTATACTGAAACGTAACTATTTTGTGAATATTAGTGTGTTCAGAAATAGGTCAGCTGATCAGCAGACAAAGAACCAATAAATATTTTACGAGGGTCTGATTTTGAAATGTTTTGTTGTAACTGTTTATTTTACAGACTGAAAACGTATTGGGATACGCAAACAGAGAATACGAAGTTTGGCGACGTTTCAGTGATTTTCTTGGATTGCACGAGAAGTTAATGGAAAAACATTTCCAAAAAGGCATTCTCGTTCCAGCCGCCCCCGAAAAAAGTATCGCAGCTTTTACCAAAACGAAAATGAATTCAGGTCCAGATGAACAAATCAATAAGTTGGTTCCACTGACTTAGAAATTTTACTTATCATTCAGTTCATTTCGACCAGCCTGATGACAAATTATACCATGGAAGCAGTTGTTTGGCAAATATTGATAAAAACATACTGATACGTCAGTTTTTAATTGATTTGATCGGAAATCTTAAATTAGAAATTTTATTACTCGGGTCCAATAATAGATCTCCACTTATCATCAAGCCAGATTAGTCGTCAACGAAGTGATTCATTTTTTGAAGCAGTACTCGGATAGAACAAACAACACTGGATGATTAAGTCCATTGTGAAGTTATCACTAATTGGTAATTCATTTGCTTAAGCATCGTTCATTTTAATGTCACTAAAATTGATCATTTCGTTTGTGGTTCATTCATCTCAGTGATTCTTTGCATTTGATGGATTGGTTCTTCGTGTTGCAATTGAAGCATTCATTTAACCATGTAGGGAGTTTGCCGAGCGTCGTTCACGTGCACTGCAACGTTTTTGTATGCGTATTGCACGTCATCCAAGATTGGTTTCTGATTGCGACTTCCGTGACTTTTTAACATTAGCTGCACCGTTGCCGAGAGCAAATTCAACGGCTGCATTGAGTGGTGCAGGTGTGAAGCGTATGTTTAAAAGTGTCGGTGATGTTTTTTCAAAAATGGCATATCACATGGACGAAAACGACCGTTGGTTTGAATCTGCTCAAGCACAGGTTATTTTCTTAGAATCATCATCAGAAATTGTATTCCTTAAAAGTATAATCGAACGATTGACTCATCTGTGCTAATTGACTTTATTTGCTTGATAGTTTTGGTGAGTAAGTGCTTTCGAATGTTGTCAAAAAAAAATGAAATTGAAAAAGCCAAAAGAAAATTGCAGATGGATGATATGGAGCAAATGCTGAATAAGCTTTTACGAGCCGTTGAAACGATCGCATCGCATCGGCGTGATCTGTGCGTAACAAATGAGTCGTTCTCGAAGGCATTATCAATGCTAGCATCATGCGAAGAGAACACAGCATTAGCTCGTGCTTTGTCACATCTTACAGATGCAGAAGAGAATGTTGCACAGCAACATAGTGTACAAGCTGAACGTGATACGGCACTACTCGCTGAACTTATCAACGAACAATTACAAATCATTCTGACGCTTAAGGTAGTTGCAATGTTGCTTGTGCAAAAATATGCACGCGTTCTGTCGAAATCCAGATACATACTTCTCCTCTTGGATTGATCTTCGCATTACTAAGATCACATTTTAAATTCATCTTATTGATGCACTTTTTCAACGTTCATGCTTTTGCAGGAACTTTTCTTTGAACGGGTCAAGGTGTGGCAGAATTGGCAAGTAGCACAACAAAATCTGAGTAAGAAAAAAGAACAAAAAGCACGTTATGAGTTGGCTGGAAGAATGGATAAAGCAAATCAAGCGAAAGATGATGTTACAAATGTAATAATTATTCTTTTCTTTTCAGTTCGTTGAATCCAGCCAATTATTTTAAAATGTGACGAGCTGTTGAATCAGTTTTTTTTTCAAAATTGCAGTGGTATTCGATTTGTATGCTGATTTCAGACGGCGAATGAAAATTTTTCTCAGCATTCAAATCTTGAATGATTTAAGCGAGATTATCTTTGGCTTCAAATAAAATTCTTTGAAGTGCATATACCTCGTTTATGTACGTTGTCATCGACTTCTGATGTTGCGTCCTTGTCAAATTTTAGCTCTATGTCTGTAGTTGAATGGATTGTGGCAGTGTGTAAACTTGAAAGATTCTCTCAAACATGAATTGAAGAAATCTCTTACTTTGTGTTTACAGGCCGAACGACAAGTGGATGAAGTGGAACGTGAATTTGCGGAAATGAGTAAGGTGATTCGCGGTGAGTATGAGAGGTATCTTGGTGAACGCAAAATCGATATGCACAATATGTTTGTTCAGTACATTGAGGCATTACTTGATACACAAAACAAAATTTTACAACACTGGGAAAGATTTGCACCTGAGACACGCGCTATTGTGATCGCATGAAAGAAGAACACATTTATTCATACGCTTTATTTATTCCACGTTATCTGTGATCATTGTTATGTTCGATAATCAGTTATTCATTTTACGTCTTTTTTGAACACTACACAAAGTGCAATGAATACACTCATCAGAGTAAATTGTTCACAATTGACTATATAGATTCGCTGAAAAAACAGTACAATTGACAATCTCACCAGAACCCATCCCCAACTGGATGTAACGTTCAATTTTGAATCAAACCTTCGAGTTTTCAATTCCTAATCACTTCCGTTTGTCTTCGTAATATATTATCTCTGAGAATCCTTCTGATCTTCCCATGTTGGTAAAATAATTCAAGCTGAGAGAATGTTATTGAATGAAGCACAAATATTACAAGATAATTTGTGAACTTTTTCGTTTACATCCCACAGGTTTAGAACAGTGTAACGGGAATATACAAGAATTTACCAATTCTTACAACAGAACCATGTGCATCTTGCAAGGCGATGTACATATAATGAGAATGCATTCGAAACATCATAGATGTACTGGATCAAAACATACGTTGCATGACAATCAGCCATGATCGATATGCGCATGAAACAGCTACATAATTTTTGGCAGTAGATTGCGCGAGGGGTTTGCAATCACGGCGCACTCACGACGTTAATCAATTGCAATGAACATGGTCTTCTGGTTTAACCGGTTCATCACTGCTGTGTCAAATCTTCTAAACGAGTCCATCCAAGATCAACTTCAGCCACCGATATTTCTTTACAACACTGCACACATTCATATATTTTGCGCTGAACATTCATTCGCTTTGCCAAATAATCATCAAAATCACAAACTTATCAGATGAGAAAGATCACAATTGTATGCGTCATCCAACCGTAATGATGACACGCTTCATTCACGACTAACATTTCTTAATGGAACGCATATTACAATATGCGTACACAGCAAAAATTTACAATGATCATATTCAAGTCTGCTGGATCGAACGTGATTCAGCTGAGTTGATCGACCATTTGCACATTCCGTTAGCAGACAACTTCTTTGGTTTGGGTGAAATAATATTTAGATAAGACAATTATTATTAAATGGAATGAGCGCAGAATATATCACATAATGATGATTCATTTCATGTTAAATACGTTATTGTTTTCCGTTAATTTAACATTATACAAACATATATATAAATATATACTGCTGATACCATCATTTAGATATATAGGACAACCAACAAAATATAAAATAACACCAGCCGCGCGCCACAACGAAACATAAATTAACAACAAAATTCAATGATACACCACATCTTTTAATTGGCGCAACAAAAATGAAAAAAAAATGACTGAGGATCATAAAAGGGACTCTGAAAAATCTAGTCAACAAACGAGAACTATCTTGAATATCGTCAAACAAGTTCGTTTCGCTACAGAATTCCAACTACGATACTCAACAAGACGATTGTTGGTCAATATCAGTTATCATTTGTTGACAATACAAACAAGTTATGCTACTGTTGAACAAAAATAACTTTTAACCGATCACCTATAGCTCAAATCAGAATCTATAGATTTTAGAGATGAACGAAGCAACAACTCCGACACTTTTACAGTCATCCACTTGGTACGGAAATGTTTCTTTCCTTCTCTGGTGTGGTCAAAAATTTACAAGTGATTGGAATATAAAAGGCAATGGATGTAAATAAACGCGCATACTGCTAGACAGATGGGAATGAGATGAGAGGGATGGAGTGAGGTAAATAATAATTTGAAATATCACACAAATATATCCAAACATCTTTCATTTCCCTATTGAGCTCATTAATGCATACTTCATGAATAAATCTCCTCAACATTTCTCAAAGATCATGGTCAGCTATTTTTCTCATTCAAAGCTGTCCAGCAGTCATGCCTGCGTATTCAGTTTCGCCACCTCATTCTCGACTTCGTTGTGTGATTCTATCTTGTCATTTTGCACAATTTTTATCCCAGTTGTTACTGTTCACCAAAGCCATCCTCCATGCCCGCTTTATCACCCTTTGTTTTGCATGTTTAAAAAAATTCCTAACAACTGTCACCCCCTCAGACATTCATTTGCTTTCTGTCCCCACAGTATCACCCTTCGACGTTATTCCCTTCATCCTTTTCCTTATCACATTTTCGGTCTTTTTACATTGATCAACTTATTTGACAACTGAGAACAGATTATAAACGTACGGCTTACGGTAAGGCTAAGATTAGAAGCGAGGTGAATTTAACAGAGCATAATCGAGTGTTAAGTAGATTTAGAAGTGATAATTGGTAGGGGGTGCGCTTCTGTATTGAAGACCCATTTATCTAGTGACAAGGTGTCGTCATCCGAGAACACCAAATAGAGGTATTTAAAAGTTTCAGCGAATAAGAAACTCTGCTGCACATCATCATGGTCAACGTTTTCCTTATACACATCTCGAATGCCCGAATATCTAAACAAATACAACATTTGCATTTTCAGTCGGAACAAACCAGCATAATGCGAAAGACAACATATAAAACTTGGGATTAACGAAACGATTTCGTTTGCTCCACACATACAAAAATTCATTTTTCTCAGCGTAAGAAAAAAAAGACTTAATTTTATCAAAACAGTCGGATTTTCCACTCTACACCTAATTTCAAAACAACGCTTTGAAAACGAAAAACATAATTATGCCTGAATGAATGAGATGAAATACAACGAATAAATATAATAGAATAACCCTGCGTCTGTCCGACAATAATTCTGAATAGCTTGTGCTGCATCCCAACACCAATCACGATATTTTTCATCATGGGTAGCTCGCCAAAGATAGAACCATGCTTCGATCACCTTCAAAGCAAAATCACTGACTTCAGTGAATACATCAAATGAACCAAAATAATCTTAAAAGATGGAACTTTAAAATTTTACGGGAGTATGCCAATAAAGAATAACATCTTATGAATGCATTCTGGCAGCTGTAACGCAGTATGCCAATAAAGAATAAGATTTTTTTCCTTATCGCAGTTACGCTTAGTGTCCGTCGGGGAGCAGCTTTTCGGACCGGGGAGGGGGGGGGGGGGGGGTTCCTCGACGAACACTAGTTACGCTCTATTCTCGCAGCAGTCGGATTATTCAATAATTACAAAGCAAAACACTTTCATTACTCGTTCGACAATACGCGCTAATGCATGTAAACTCGTCAAGTTTTAGGATCGAATGGTCTTGCAAAGTTGTTCTTGCAGTTACATAGCAAAATCACAGATACCTGTGAATTGCAGATACCAATTAATTGAACTCACTTGCAGCACTTAAACAACAATGTTATATTAAAAAATGAAACCAAAACCACAAAGACAAGAATGATGACCTCAGGACGTTGAATGTAATACTTTTCACGATCGCTAACTGCAACCGCTTCGATATCTGATGTGAAACGAAATGATTCCGGACCGATACCAATCGCTGTAAAAAACACGAACAACCATAACAGGAACTGTTTAATTTAGAAAGAAATGCGAATTTCGTTAACTTATGGTAACAATTCATTACATTCCAAGAATGTTATGAACAGAACAAATGACGACAGTACTAATTCGCCACGAAATTTTGAATCATCTTCATTTAAAATTCCTCAATCGATGAACTGCTTCATTTGCCGAGTACTTTCCTTTCTTTGCGACTGAATTATCATGAACAATTGGTAAAGAACAAACCAGATCTGATATACGACTCATGACAAGTATTCCCGATTTGTTTCGCCAAATCTAACGCGTCATTCTTGCCTGCTAACGAATCCTCGTTCATTGATTCTAGTGCAAAAAGTCCACCAATGAAACAAGCAAGATGATCCATTTTATGCTCCACACGAGTTCCCTTCATCTCTAAACATTGAAATAACCGTTAGAAATATGTTTATTGATCTATGTATTGTATTATGGATTATGTATTGTGAAATCTATATTATGTAACAGTTACATTCATAATCAATAGAGTACGGTTAAGCTGATCGCTCGAAAATACAAGGAATCTGTTGATTTTTAACGAGAATATTTGTTGTCTAAAACGAGAAATACGTAAAAATAATGAAACATTCAACTTCTAACCAGCAAAATATGCAAGGTTGCTTTGCTTTGAGAAGTGTAGAAGATGCTTCTTAATGGCCGAAACAGCATCATCATAAAGTTGCTTGGCCTGCTGATCTTGTTTGTTTGATTGGAGCCAGCTCTTCAGTAAGTATTCATAAAAGCTATCACCCAATGCTCCGACCGAAATATGCTCTAAGAATAACTAGTAGATTACAGACAGTCAACGATGAAAATGGTTGTGAAGGAAGCGTTTCCAAAAAATATCTATTCGAACGAACTCAAGTAGCTGGGTGGAAATACAACAAAAAAAAAACAAACTTTGGCCCCATTTGCCAGTTTTTGGATTCAAATAATTCCGATAGAGACCATCCGGTTTTTCGATTGATGAGAGCACTTCACGAATTCGAGCCACCTATAACATATTATCACAATTTTTTGTTCGCGAAACAGTATCGCTATTCGGAAAAAATTTTTTGGACTTTCATACAAATTATAATCATCATAGCAACAACAGTAAAAGCAGTATCTATGATAATGACGATAAAAAATATCAAAAACTAGAATGACAATTCTGATATTAATAAGTACTAATATCAGCAAAGACAATAATAAAAACGATAGCAACAGTAGCAGCGATAATGGCAATAATAAGGACAACAATTTAAAAATGATAATGATAATAACGACGGCAATAATATTATAGACGTACACTAGTGAATAAATAACAGGAACAATGGTAACGATAATAATTTTCTGTTTTACATGAATAACTTTTAAAAAGACATTGGTCTGAAAATGAGCACAAAACCTTTTCGTAGAAAACAGTACGGTTGGTGATACGCGATAGATACTCAAATTCGAGATGAAGCGATCCAAATTCGGACAGAATTGAACAACCCCCCGTTGCCCACGACCAATTGTTAACCCTACCCGTTCGTGCATTAAAAACTGCATATGGTATTCCAGTAGGCGTGTTGAATGCTGGTAATAATAAATCTGCTATTTGTTCCGCTTTATCCCTAAACACCTACAATACCATTTCATTAACAAATGAATCGATACCTATAATTGTTCACTCTTATTATGGTGTTTGAGCGTTTCTCCATTCAGCTGCACTTAAAGACCAGATAGTTTCAAATACTGGTTCTGGTTTGAGGATCAGATACCCGATTCAAATTCATTACTAGCTGACTTTTGCCATAGCTGAATCTTAATCTTCAATGGAAAGACTGACTGACAATGCGCATTCGGTTTAAATTTAGATTGAATGAAGAAGAAGAGTACAAACCGTATCATTGGTGAGAGCAAATGCAGATAACAAGCCACCAACAAAACGAATGTTCATTTCGAATACGGACATATCACCATCCTGCAGTCCATACAAATTTCATCTATTAGTTCGTCACTGTAGGTTATCATAACGATAAAATAACGGTGATAAAACTTTCATGAACATAATTCGCACGAGATGGTGGATTGCGAAACTGAACGAAGTGCATGATGAAAAAATTATGAAATAATAATAACGAAGACGATAATGATAACCGATTTTGCGAGATCAAGACTGTTAGCGACCCAATTACGAGCCTGTCGAAATTCATCTTTTAAATCCATCAAATAAAGCGTATCAAGTGCATCGACGATAGTAGCACCCGTTTCACCATTACCAAATATTGATGCACTATGTCCGGTTCGTGAGATCGGTCGTAATTCGTTCATACCCCAAGCATACTGCACGTAACTATCCCAAGCGAACTTCGTCATCTTAATTTCATTCCATAACAACTCAACTCTTCATTCACTTTTCGGCACTTTAATCCTAAACAAACAAACCCCATTCTTGAATACAGTCATACGAAAAAGGAAACAGTTGAGCAAAAGTGTTAGAAAAATGTGCAAATACACCACACCTTCTTAACGAAATTCCTCCGCTTGGCCATTTCTAGATCGATTGGTCTTCTTCGTTGATTTGTACCGACTTCTCCACTCATGTTCATTGGTGGTAGAGGAGGTGCAGGAATGTTAGCCTTTTCTATTTTTTCACGAAGAATTTCACGATCATTTGATTGAGCAATACGTCGTTTTGCTATATCTCTCACCACTTGCAATGACCTTAATGAGACTTTGGTGACTAAGACAAATCACTGAGCACTTATTTGTTACTTAACAAACAATACATACCGAAAATTCACATCTTCACTGTTCGGTAGATTGATTATCGCAATTATGATAAACAAAATCACCAAGAGACCAAACGTTATGAAAAGCCTTTCTCTGGAGCGGAACGCCATACCCCATTGATCGTGTAAGTATTTATTAAATGGCTTGCTTCACCACTGCTTGGCCAACCTGAAGCATGTCCAACCAACTACTACAAATTGGATCGATATTGAAATTAAATTATTTGACCTAACTTCAAGCACTGATTCAAAATTCAGTAGTTGAACAACGTGTAGGAAGTATCAAACAGGCGGCAAATTCAATGCAGCTAACAATTGGATTGGATTAGTTATCAGAAATATTCAAAATAATGGCCAAAGAAATAGCGAACCGATGCAGAAAGAAAGAACACGCTACTTGAGTGATGTCGTCTTTACAAGTACGAAAAAATGCGAAAGTCTGATGTTGATACAGCTAAATCTGTAAAGCGTGACGACTTGAAATACAGCAATGGTAAAATGTTGACTGCAAACAAATATGCCGAGTAAAATGAAACAAGGAAACCCGATATTGTCATTTGGTGGTTCGGGTGTGCAAAATCAAAACGTTCATACGCATTCGAATTTAGCAATTCTATGCGCACAACATGTTCTGGTAGTAGTAATTAAGCTGATTAATTACACTTTAATATCGGTGGAGCTTGATAGTAGTACTTCAATGACGGATTCTAAGTGCACATTATGTTATTGAAATAATTTAACGAGGTCACATAATTAATTGCATCAAAAAAAAAATTTAAAAATTATGAGTTTATATCGACATCTTCTAATGAATTACGAATGCATGCAAATAAAGTGCCTTTTTAATTTTACCATATAAAAACACCCGCAAAAGATCTCATTTTGAATGGAATAAAACTTGAATGCCAAAAGCAGAAAGTATTATGGTGCGTACGCACTTCGCCATATGCGCGTGTCGGCGGAAGGAGGGCGGAGTCACGACCGCGTCGCGCGAGGAGAAATAAGCAGGGAACAACCATTAGAGCAAGTGAGAGACTAGAACGACATTGAAAGAAGTATCCCGCGGAAGTGAGACAAACCGAGAACAGTGAGTAGAGCAGATGATATACTTGAACGACGTTGAACATTTATTTATACCGCTGGTATATCAGAAAAAGACCGCTTTGAGGGGTGATTCATTGCGAACTGATTGGAAAAAAGTTGTGACCATTTTGTAGAGAATAAAATTCTCTATCATAGGAACTATCATATTCTGAGATACGTCCATCACAGAAAAACTTGACTGGTCTTAAAGTAGAAAATGTTGGGCAAAAATGAAAGACACATTTATGTAGTACCAAATTTCAGGGTGAAGGAACAATTTTTGAGCTATGAGACTAGGCACAATTTGTAGAGCTTGAAATGCTCTATAAGATGACAATTAGAGGAAAACGCTTCGTAAATGCGCACAAAACGAACAGAATGAATGTAGCTGTGAAAGTTAACAACGAGAAATCGTCGTAGCGCAACATTCGCGACTGATTCCAAATTTAATTCTCTACAAGCACAGAAGGTCTCAGCAGAATTCATAATCTAGTTTTCGAGACTGTAACTTAAAATGAACCTTCATAACGAAAAATAATCCTTGGCGAGCAATTGAGATGGAAAAAGTACCGGAACGGTAATTTCATCGATCAATGCCAAGTAATCCATTTAAAAGAGAATATGATGCTGATCGAATAT